AATAAATAAACGTTAAAAAAAAATTTTTTTTTTAAATAAAAAATTTAAAAAAAAAGAAAAGTAGAAATAACAACTTTTCCAGAGAAAGCACCTCAAGGAACAAGTGCCATATCTTTAGAGCATGAGGATTCTTGAGGGCCAGTCTTTATCCCTGTGAATTAATTCTCTACACCAACAAGCAAATCAACACCCTAAATATTCTAGATCATCAAATGAGAAAATGAAAAGTAGTGGTGATTGCTACAGAAATGTTCCAAAACAAAACTGATTCCAAAGTTAACATTCTGAATAAAAACACTGCTACAGAGAGCCCACGGGCCCAAGAAGTAATAAGCACATCTCTGGGCACGAGGGTATATCCTACTCACACACAGAAATCCTAATTTACATAAAGATACTGATCTGTAAGCAGATTGTCAATAGTTACAAATCATTCTGCATTAACCCTGTAAGGTACTAACGGTAGTTATTTCCGACTAGTGGAATTATTGGGGGTTGCTTCCTTTTACTTATTTACAGCTCCCAATTTTCCTAACATGTGGCTCCTGCAATAAGAATTTAAAATCACATAAGGCTATTTATTATCCACGGACAATCCGTGACAATTGAGGCAAGAAACTATTTTAGGGGAACTCTTCACCAGGATCTGTGGATAAACCAAGTATTTACCTGTCTTTAAAATCATCCTTGCTCTCTGCCTCACACCTGAACTAATCACAACTTAGTTTCCCTCTTTACCATTCCCACAGACCTTATACGTTTTGCCACTACAGAAAGTCAGCACCGGGTACAAAAAACACCCTCACTACTCACTTTTGCCAAATTCCCAGTGATGGCTACCAATTCTCTGCGATAGTGAGATTTAAAAAAAAAAGGGAAAGGAATGGTCTTTAAATCAATGCTTTTGCACAAAGAGACCTCAGACTCAGAGAAATAGCTTATTAAAAATAAAATGCTTGGGGCGCATGGGTGGCTCAGGCGGTTGGCCGACCGACCTCAGCTCAGGTCATGATCTCATGGTCTGTGGGTTTGAGCCCCGCGTGGGCTCTGTGCTGACAGCTCGGAGCCTGGAGCCTGGAGCCTGCTTCAGATTCTGTGTCTCCCTCTCTCTCTGCCCCTTCCCCACTCATGCTCGCTCTCTCTCTCTCTCTCTCTCTCAAAAATGAATAAATGTAAAACAACTAAAAAAAAAAAACTTAAAAAAAAAAAAATGAAACGCTCTTTTTCTATATAGCTACTGAAAAACCATAGGCTCCCTGCAATTCTCACAATAAAAAGCCTCTATGGAATCATAAAGGTCCCAAGAATAAAACTTCATTTTGGTAAACATGCATTTGGCAATGCTATTCTCCCTCAGTTATTTAAAAACAAAAAACAAAACAAAACAAAACAAAACAAAACAAAGGCACAGAAAATCTCAAGAGGGAAAAACAGCTTCTACCAAAGCAGGCATATTCCTCAGTCCAACAAAATAACTCAAATTCAAACCAGTTTAACTCACCAAGCATTTGTTAAGCACTTACTATACACAGAGCACCATGACAGCTGTTTATTCCTCTTTATTTTTTTTTTAATTTTTTTTAACGTTTTTATTTATTTTTGAGACAGGGAGAGACAGAGCATGAACAGGGGAGGGTCAGAGAGAG